CTTGCTTTCGACTGGGTCCCATCACGCCGGCAGCCGGCTCTGTGGCCCCACTTTTTGGAGCTTCATAGGCTGGAATTCCTCCGACAGGCACCACCTTCAATGGTCCCCGTTCATTACGAGATGTGATTACAAGCAAACCCGCCGCCGCGACACAACATCGGAGATTTACCTTTGACACCTATAAGGACAACCCTCGAGGGTCCATTTCTTGCATCGAGGAGGGACAACACACGGTAAGTCATCCCAAGCCCGATATTTCCTCTCTTGTTGAGCCGTATGGAAAAGACCTTGATTTTTAAGTTTTCCCATATTGTCCCCAACCTCCGGGATTTGACTGCTGGACTTAGAAACTAGGTTATAAGGTTAGCGCCACGCCCAAATAGTATAACTTCAACCACTATTTAGTCACCTTTGACCTTAAAGATGACTATAACTTGGCGTGGCTTAAGGCGACGATTAGCGTTTGTGGGTGCACTGATCGGGTGTTTAAATACACCCCCGATTTCTCTCCCTCCACTGAGGCTCCCCTCACCTTAGTATGGGTTTGTCTCCTAAGTCTTCTCCCTCACCTCTATGACCCTTCTGTTTTGTTCTCGATTGCCAGCTGCATTGACAATCCGATTGAGGTTGATGCAGCCATGGCCACTCGACTGAGGCTATCCATTACACATGTGTGCGTTGAAATAGATCTACGTGGTGAGCACGTCCATGAGATATTTCTAAACCAAACCGGGAAGATCACCACGCAGAAAGTGGTCTACGAGAGGATCCCACCATCCTGCACTTTGTTTGACCACGTGGGTCACGTAGGGGCTGACTGCTACACTAGTGGCACTAAGTCTCGTTCATCGCTTCTGCCGCGCTATCATGCGGCCATATCGGGATCCTCAGCTGCTTTGGAGGACACTAAGAGGAAGGGGAAGGCCCCTGCCTGCACGTCAGAGTCCTGAAAGAGGACTCAGGAAAAGGGCAAGGCTATTGTGGAGAACGCCGCCTAGACCGAGAAGGCTGCTCAGCCTAACTGGTCCAAGCACAGGTTTTTTCCCTTCGCAGACACTCCAGCAGCCAACAACTCTTATTTTGATGTCCTCTTTTTCGAGACAGAGGATGAGCCCTCCTTCTCCACTCGTCTTTTTGAAGATTTGATGAACCCCTTGGACGACGATGACCTCCTGAACGATGAGATTGATTAGCTAAACCCCTTAGTGAACATCGAGTCCACCCCCTTTCACAACGTCAGTTCCCGAGACGTAGCTTCCTTCAGTGAGCTTGATGCCTCTGAGGAGAGATCTCAGGACTCACGTTCCACTCATGTTGTTGACTACCAGGCTGGGTCTGAGGCGACCTCTGTTATTGTCTCCGAGAGTGAGCACTTGATGGTGCACACTGCTAGTGACATTTCTCTACATGCTACCGAGTCCGTGTCCCGCCATTTGGTTCCTCTCTTGATCAGTATTGTTTCCTCTTGGGCCTTTCAACCTCCATCTTCTCTTCTCCATTTAGTTCTTTCTCCACGCTGACCTCTTCGACCACCTCGCCCTTCATTATCCTCTTTATACTCATCCTCATCGTTGTAACTCCTTCGACTGAATCTTCTCTACACCTCCTATTTTCCTTCCTTTTCAGTCTGCTGTGATATACGAATCCTTTCAAGTGTCCTGCCCTAATCAAGCGTTCAATCTCGTCTTTAAAATGCCTGCAGTTTTCCGTGGTATGCCCATAATCCCTACCCTATAGAACCTTTAATACCGACCTGACTTGGGCTGAGTAGGTCCCTCGCTCCTCGACCTAGGCCATGTTACATTCGACCATCCAACCTATTCTCGATTGTTTCCAGCACTTTAGTCAACTTTAGGGGTTTTAGCGTTGTATACTTGTATAAATGAGGAAATGAGGGGGATTTGGGCAGCAGTTTGGGGCTCCAATGGGGGAATGAATCAGCTGATTTTGGGGATCAAATCTTACCAAAATTGATCACAATGCATTTTGAATTTTGAACAATATTGGAGCCAAAACTCCTTAGAACAAAATGAGGCGATTTAAGGCTCTTAAGGAGCCGGTTTTGGCTTAACTTTGGGTCGAAAGTTTCTAGTGCAAGGGCCGGGATTTAAAGGCTTAAAGGGAAAAAAATATTTGGATTTGAAGCTTGGTAAAACAATTAGTAAAAAGGCTCGCACTTGGACTTGAAACCGAATGAATTTTTTTTAGCAAACCAATCACCGAAGCTTGGAATAATTTAAGTAGACGAGAACATCTACATAAATTATTTAGCAAAAAGGATTAAATAGTCGAGGACGTCTAAATAATCTTACAGACTTAGTCGAGCTTATTAAGAAGAAATGCAATGCAATGCACAATTTAAATAAAAATAATACGAACTAACTCTTATTAATCGAACAGGGCACTACAACAACAGTCTCATGCCCGACATAAAATAAAAAACTAAAAAGAAGAGAGAAATTTGCAAGAAAAAAAGAAAACAAAAAACAAAAACAAAAAATGTTATCTAAACTATAACATTGACTACATTATCTGATGTCTGCTTCTTGAGGTATTCTGATTTTGTTCTCTCTATAGCTTCATCAGCTTCGTTGTCGACCCAGGTAACAAAAAAAAAAACATTGGCACCAAGATAGAAAACAAAAATTCATTATATATCCACATCCTTATGAATTTTTGTATGAGTGAAACCTCAGATGTTTGCTCCAGACTAACATCAGCTGGCTTGCGAAATGACATCTGAATTTGGAAAAAATATATGATATATTAGTACATTTTTCAGTAATATAAAATATTATGTATATTTTTTTGTTTGATTAAAGAACATGGAAATTAATGAAGAAATAACAAAAATTTATCGATTCCTTTATCGGCGAGGTATGCACGGTCTCCTTGATATTATCGGTTGCCATTCCAAAGGCATCAGTGCCATCTTCAGTGTTTTTTCCATCATTTTTTGCAGCAATCTAATACAAAATAGCGACCAAATGCATATATACTCTGGGCTAACAAATGTATATATAGAATATTAGAAGTATATGTCTGGTATATATGATGTGTATATATAGAATATAACATATGATATAGTGTATATATTTGTGTATATTCATACACAGTATATACTAAAATATGTTATTAATTAAACCTACAAAACGTTTAGAAATATATTATACTTACAATGAATGTGTTCTTGAATAGCTCTCCATAACCCGCTTTGAAAAGTCAAAAAACAACTGCTTCAAGTTCTCAATATCAGATGAAATTGAATTCAGACGATCAATGACTTCTGAGTCATTGGTATGCTGTCACGTAGATGCCGTATGTTTCTCGTTCCAACTGAATTCATTCTTCTTCTGGAAAAAAGGTATCCAACAGCAGTGATTGGTTTTTTTCCAAAGTAGGTACCACGTACTTAAACTGTACAAAATGAACAAATGTTTTATACAATGATATATAGGAGAAAAAAAAATGAATAGTTATATGTACGTTTCATATATCTATATTTAGTCCATGACATCAAGTTTTGAAATATATACCTTTTTAGACTCCAAATTCGAGAAAGCCCTCTGTATATAAAGACGGTTGTAGCTATCACGGACTTCCCACTTGAGCATTCTAGGGATGTCGTGACCTCCAAGCGATTTTCATACTACGCCATCGGTTGTATTGCAAATTTCATAAAACCATATCTACAAAGCTAAGATAAGCCCATAACGTCTCTATAGGTAACCAACTCCAGCATTGATTTTTTCAGATAATGGAACGTAAACCCAAAGACATCAGTCCCCCAAGCATAATCATCAAAACAGAGCTATCGATAATGTTGAGGTAGCATATGTCCAAATGGTGCGAGTCTAAGGAAGTTTGCAAGTAGAAGTAACTTGGCAAACTTGACCGCATCGTCATTGGATTTCTATGATTTCTTTAAAAACTTCACTCTGATGCAGCTCCGATTAAGTAGAACACCGGAGAAGTAATTGTAATATAGGTCTTGGGATACTTTTGGGATATTCAACTTCTTGCAAGAACTAGTGCATTTAAGGCCTATAATGAGGGCAAACTCTTCAATCCCAAACTGGAGCATTTACCTCCAAAATCAAACCATATCTCGTCAATCCTATACTGATAGACCTCTCGTAAGAGAATGTGATTAAGCAATTGGATCTGGACCTTGCAATGTGGAAGATCCAGAAAGTTTTCAAATGTCGTACGGCTTAGAATCTCAATGAGTTGGGGGGCTAAGCATTCTCTTTATTTCATTGATGGTTGACCCATAATTGCTGTTATCATTACTGGTCTGAATCTTCACATTTAATTTCCACGGATGTGGTATGAGCAATTCCCATTCTTGTTACAAAAGTACATGTAATTGATATAAGAATAGTTACTCAACTACTTCATACAAATTGATTTATGTACATGTCATATGCATAATATATGCACACAGATATTCACAAATGCTCGATACATGTTGGATTTATACAAAGCTAATATTTGGTAGTGTAATAAACATATCAGTGGCATACTAGTAAACATATAAGTCACATATACAACATATATATCATATGATTTCACAAGAATGATTGTAACAAAATTATGTTAGCATACTAGTACACATACCAAACATACCAAGAACATATACAACATATACAACGTATGGCTTAAACAACATACATACTGATACCAAACATTATTCATATCATAGCAGTGTACAAGATATACCCGTCACATATGCAGAACCCATATTCACAAATGCTTTAAATAAGCTTTATATATACACAAACCTATTCATACCAAGATACTTTTTACTAAACATACCAGATACTTATATATTCATGAACCTTGGTGAATTATCATAACACCATGTAACTCCACACAGAAAAAATGGATAAAAACGAATAACATATACCTAATAAGAAACTTGTATACACCAACATNTTATGTATTATAAAATTATAGTGCCATATAATATATGACATTAACCAACAAATAGATATTGTCTTTTTCCAACAATGAGACCACATATTATACTGATGATCTTCTAAACATATTAAAAAAACTGAGAGTTGAAAAAACAAGGTTAATCTGTTATTTATCTTAAAATTTCTTAGATTATGCAAACCATCTTCTGTTTTGCTCGGATTGGCACTCGGCTTCATCCTCTTCTTAGATGAGTTATCCGTACGTTCACCTCTAACTTTTTGTTTCTTTCTCTTTTCCTTATTTTGTTGCAAGTTGTTGTCTTCCTCACTCAATACTCGATCGATGAGGAGAGACCTCGGCGCCGGTTGGAGGACTTCTTCCAAACTTGGTTTTTGCCATTTTTGATTTGCTTCAATAATATTATGGTTTGCAGTTGACCGGGTTGTGGAACAGAGATAGGGGAAAAATTGTGTTGAACAGAGTGGACTCGTGGGCGGCTACTGAGATGTAATAGATATGCCTGATGTTTATGAAAACTGATAAGTTTCCCATGAATTTAGTTACTAATTGATTATTTAAGCCAATTATGGAGACCATCTGATTTCTAGTAAAAATGCAAATATATACATGATTTCTTGCTATAATGCTAATATTTTTAAACTTTTATTTATGTAATTAAAATTAAATTTTGTGTAGGAGGTAATATAACATCAAAAGGGTCCATTTTGTGTAGTAGCCACATGAGGCCCGTTCAACTACTGGCCCATTAGTTTTCCTCCATTGCAACAACATATAGAACATCGTCACAACAACATAAAGAAAATGAAGAGAAAAATGGGGGACAGGAAAAGATCGGCAAACAAGAAACCAAAATCGGATTGGCCATCAATTAAACCTAAGTCCAATCTTCAAATCAATCGCCTCAAAGACGACGATTTGATTACTGTAATATTTCTTTCCTCTTTCTTTTCTTTGTTAATTTTCAAATATTTATAAATATAATTTCCTGTTCATGATGGCCCGTGGTTAGTTTCTGTATTTTCCGTTTTCTCATTGTAGTTAATTTTTTTTTTCAACTAGAAGTTGATTTTCTTAACGGGCAGGTAGGTGTTCTGATGATTATGCCAAATATTTCTTGTGTGGTTCTATTGTCTTAAATTGAGCACCCTTTTAATACGTGGGTATAATGTAAGAGAAGCTTAGCTTTTTTAGCTCTTGATTTTTGGTCAGAGCTCCAGAACTCAGAACTGTGGAAAATCTTGAGCGTGGTAATCCTCTTGTTTTGTAGTTGTTGGGTTAATTTTTTTTATTTTTTTTTTCTTAGCTTCATGTTACTTGTTGTATTGATTTTACAATCCAGAAGCTTGTTATTCTTAATTTATGTTTCCAAGGTAAGGTAGAACTAGAAAAGTTAATCGTGGAGGTTTAGCATGATTACAAAAGAAATCAGTTCCATGTTAAATTACTTCTGTTCTCTTAATTTTGTTCATGGCTACATTAGAATTTGGATTTTATTAGATTATGAAGGTAACAATTTAGGTTCTATTGGAGTGACATATAACATTTTATGTCTTGTAATTTTAAGTTTTCGCTGCAATTTCAGACATTTGACCGTCCAATTTTCCAATTTATATATTTGGGATGGATTTTGATTTGCGAATTAAGTCCTCTAATTTAACTTTTTGCTTCAATTTCAGTCATTTTGACCGTCAAAATTGGAAAGTTTTGTACCTAAGTATTATGTTACATAACTTAAATTGTTATTTGTCACTTTAGTTGGACCTAAATTGCTACCTTCATAATCTAATAGGCCCAACATTGCATTTTAGCCTTTTGTTCATCCATCATTATTTTACATTCTAGTGGCCATTCTTGAGCTTCAGGTGATAATGAAAGTTTGTCATACCTCTTTTTCATGTTGGCTTTTTTTAACTTGACTGACAGTGGTACCTTTGTGTTCCTCCCCTATTTTGGTTTAAGGTATCAGATTCCAAACTATCTGACATCGGCTGAATCAAAAGCATTCATAAATGCGGCAGAGTTGATTGGTTTTGTTCACCAAGGTAGTCTTGGTCCTACAATGGGTGAAGCTTTTAGAGACAATGACCGGATATCTGTGAATGATCCGATTCTTGCAGAAGCAATATGGGAAGCTGGGCTTAACAAATTATTTTCAGATTTCAAGATCCGAGGCAAAGTTGCTGTCGGTTTAAATCCAAACATAAGGTTTTATCGGTAAGTGGTAATAAGGTCGTGTGATTGTGGTATTAATATTATTTAGTTTTACACCATATATACTGAAATTCTGCCGAATCTGCTCAACAGTACATCATGTATGATTTAAAGAAAATCTGACTGCTGCTATAGGAAGTATTCTTTCGATTTTTCACCTAAAAATAGGGAGGAAAAATACATAATATATACATTTTATTGTTTCTGGATGCCTGTTTTTCTGATTCTTTATTTATATAGTATAATCAGAACATAAAAACCACTGGACGGGTGCTTTTGGTTTCCATTTGTGCTTCTTGTTTGACCTTTGCATTGAATTAGCTTTATTATTACATCTCCATCTTACATCAATCACACTTTTTAGTTTCTCCAGTAACTTTTAATTTCATCTCATCAACAAAATGAACGAAAGTGTTTGAAATTACATCCAATCGCTAGTAATTCAGCTTGTTTCTTGTTACCTTTGTAAACACCAGTAATTCTTGGTTTTCAACTACTTTTTCTTTTGAACGCAGAATTTTTTATGCAAAGAATCTCTCTACGTTCTTTTAGGTACGGATGCATTGATTTTGAGTGTACCAGACTCACTTGATTGGATATGTTATGATGAACTATCTGTGCTTTCTCTGCACCATTTTGTTGTGCCCCACATGAAGAAATGTTATCCAGGTGTTGGTTGACCCTTTTCAGGTACAGTGCTGGCCAGCGTTTTGGGAGACACATTGATGAAAGCGCTGATCTTGGAGAAGGAAGGCACACTCATTATACTTTGTTAATCTATCTAAGTGGTGCTCCTGGTAAAATGAAAGCCAAGTCTAAAAACACCGAGACTTCTCAAGATTCTTTGGAACCATTAGTTGGAGGAGAGACTGTTTTCTATGGCCCAAGAAATTCTCTAGTTGCTGAGGTACCATAGCTCTCTCTCTCTTTTGATTAGGTTTTTCCCACCATTGTCTCTTTTAAGCATTTATACAATTCACAAATATGATTTATTGATAGCAGTCCATCAAACACAATAATAGTATATTAACGATTGTCAGCTTTTGGTGAAAAAAAACGTTAACAGTTTTTATTTTTTATGTTTTAGTGTTATCTTCTGATTCTAATGCTTTATGAGATGTATTCTAAGTACCAAAAAGAGTTGTGTTTATCTTTCATTCTACAAATAGCAATGTTATTAGGTTGTGAGTACTCCTAAATTTTACAACCTTCTATTCCTTGATGACAAGCCCTCACATATCTGACATATTCTCACATCCAAGTTCTTGTTGACCACTTAAGTGATTCAAACACGGTTTCTTCTGATCAAAATATATCTTAGCACAAATGGCAATTTGATCTCCTTAACAATATTGTTGCTTACTAGACTGACATCGCAAAATTGTGTAGGTACCTCCGAAAGAAGGAATGGCTCTACTTCACATTCATGGGGCCAAGTGCATGTTGCATGAGGCACGAATCGTGAGTAAGGGCATCAAGTATGTGTTGCGATCGGATGTAGCATTTGCCTAAGGGCATCATCTATTGGTAGGATTCATGTCATCCCCATTTGTGATCTTGTGGGCTAATATGTTTTTCTCGAGTTCCAAGTCGACGTACCTCTGGTATAATATTTTGTAATATTCGCATCTGCTTATTTTTGCTAAATACATGTCATTGCATAAGGAAAACAGACCGAGTTTATACCACCGATAACATGCTTGAATAGTCTATAATATTTGATTGTATGGCATTATGCGTTGACACAACATTTGATGATGTTTTTATGTTTTTGTACGTGTTATTTTAACTGTATTTATACATTTGCAAATTTATGTTCTCTTATAACTTAAAAGCAGAGAAAAATAATGAGATATTCAACTTGATGTACAATACCATATGACTTCTTGAGTTTGGTATAGTTGCATAAGAGTAGCCTCACCTCAACACCCAAGTCATGCCTAGGGTAAGCTTGCTCAAGCCGCATAGTAGCCTCACCCTAGTGGATAAACCTGCTAATGGTAGGAGCCATCGACTCCACCACAAGAAATGTCGAGGGAGGAAAATCAAGAGCGGCACGTCGTTACACAGGGCACATGCCCTCGAGAAGGGGTCGAGGAACGACATATCGAGATGGTCAGACCTCATAGGGATCGCCGAGGGATCTTGATGGGAAGGAGGTCCGCTATTAATCTACAACCGCCGCATGTCATAAAGACCTGCTAGAGAACCACATTGGAAATGATGATATCTCAATTTCGAGAACAGGAGGCGAGGGTGAAAGGCAGGACGAGAACCAAAATCTATAGGCACCCGTTCGCCCATGAGGTGTTGGACAATGACCTACCTAGACATGTCAAAGCAGGCGGCGAGGCGGGCCAACCCGTGGCCCGGCATCTCGGTGAGCCTGTGAAATGGTAACCCGACCCAACCCCGCTGCGGGCCGCGGCTAGGCGGGCCAGCCCGACGCATCTAAAGAAAAATAAAAAACCTGGGAATAGCGCAAGCAGCACTTGGGATGGCAGTCCCAATTCCCCAAAAAAAAAAAAATTGGGAAACCTGTTGCATATAAAAAAAATAATAATAAAAAAATGGGAACATGGAGACTTGAGAGGTCAGTATTTTGTACTAATGAAAAAATTGAAAGTTCAAAAGAATTAAAAAGCGTGTTAGTTGTCACAACGTGTTAGTTGTCACAACTTATCTTTAATATAAAAACTAAAATTAAAATCAATTCTTTTACTGGCAGGCTGGCACGCGGCCCGCCAAAACCCGCGGTCCGCGCGGCCCAGCACGTTTAGACTCGTTCTTTGGCAGGCCTATAAAACCTCAGCCCAACCCTCCTATTAGGCGAGGCGGGGTGGGTCCAAGCCCGTTTTGACATGTCTAGACCTATCCTTCCACATCCGTGAGTTCAGCCTAGCCTACGATGGGTAAATTGGCATGGCACTTGACTAGCTTTGAAAACATAGCAGTATTACACCGTTATAGCAATGAGATGTGTTGTCGCACGTTCCTTACCACATTAAACAGGACTGGTTCCACATTAATTGGGTCCCGAGCATAGGCAGCGTAGGAGGTAGATGTGAAGATTCAGGTTCATGCTGCGATTATGTTGTCAATTATTATCTGAAATATAGCACATAGTATTCCCACGGTGAGCTTGTTGTTTGGTCACTCCCATTATTACTATCTTTTCAGGTGGAGTTGGTGGCGGTGGTGACGACGAGACGAGAGTGGTTTATCTTGTTTTAGATTATATTCTATTTGCTTTCGGTTGACGTTTTCGAAACTCGTGTAAAGATTGTTTTGAGTCTTTTGAACTTGTGGAAAAATTGTTATGTTTTGACATATTGAGTATTGATTATTAACTCGTATGATGGTGTTGTAATGTGTTTTGAAAAATGAAGATGTGATTGGAGAAGAGTAAAAAAAAATGATTTTGATATTTGTCTGTTCGGACTTTAGATTTTGGGGCTTAGGATTTTACCCTCCGAATGTAAGGACTTGAACTCTAGTTGTAATCGAGTTAAGTTCTAACTCTAGAAGTTTCTTCGCTATAAGTTTCGGTATAGTGTTTTCGAGTTAGACCATTCACAAGCCATTTCGTCGAGAGAGAAGGGCATAAACAAAGGAGTAATCACCACGGATGTCTGGTGACCGACGTCTGGATGCCTTATGGGGAGCAGACAATGGTAGAGTCCAAAACGTTCGGGAGTATTCAAAAGTTCGGAGCAGATGATTAAAGTACCAATGTGGGCGTGGTAGAAACCAATCAATTGAGTTCAAGGATTGGAAGCAAGTGCCTCGAACACGTTGTTATTCGACACCAAAGAGGTTGCGAAAAATAAAGTGCGTGACACTGTCGCGACTCTCGAAGTTGGCTAAGCCTCGAGGAAAGCGATAGTTAACTATTCTCTTGTGTGAAATTTGAACGTTAGCATCAAAGAGAAGGACATGGAGACTTATGCTTAGGTGAAAGACTCCGACGTCGTTCTCAGGACGGATGGGCTGAACAGACACCGAGAGAATGTCCGATGCCATAACTGCGAGGCGACACTTCATCTTGAAGGAGACGGGAAGATTATCTTCTATGTATCAAGCCGAGAACAATGCCTCACGTGTTGAAGACTATGAAGAGCTTTTAAGGAGGGTAGCCGAAAGCTTTGAAGATCTCCATTAGGATCCAGACCAGAAAACCAAACATAACACTTGGGAAACACCGATGGGATCAAGATGAAGCAGCCATCATCGGAGGATGTACTGACCGGTTAGGAGCATCTAGGAGTCTTTCTGGAGGAGCTGCTAGGAGGACCACCAAACGAGCTAGGCAAGTTCGCAACCAACTTGACACCGGAAGAACTGATTCATGAAGAACAAGTTTGTGCATTGACTACCATGATCTCAACTGAACAACAAAAAAGAATAATATCTAAACTCGACACTAAAAACACTTAGACGAGAGGAGGCCTTGAGATAAGATCTCGAAGTGGAAAATTTTGAGGAGTGGAGGTGGTTTAAGCTCGTTTAGGACTGCTGACACGATTAGCTACCTGAGAGAGAGCTGACGTGTTGGCCGACGCGTCGACCGACGCTTGTAGTCCGAAGGGTTGAGATGAGCTAGTCATTTGAGTGCTCAACAGGAACTGCTGATTCGAGAGGATACTCGGTTAGAGATCAAAATAGCAGAGTAGTCATCTATAGCTAGTGGTGTTTGGTATCACTAGGTGTGGGACCCACTCTCTGAGACAAGGTTTTATCTAGCCTGTTTCGGAAATGAATAGCCGCGGAGTGGCTGAGGTTGTGAGCAAGAATCCAATTCGTGCCTCCTTCTTTGTAAGTTCCTGTAATGCGGAAATTATCTTAAGACGATGTCAAAATTCTTTCAAGGATATTGCCTAGTTAATCGTTAGATTTTTTGTGTGACAATTTATGTCAATTTGTGAAAACAATGACTTGGAACTTAAATTTTACGCCTTGGACTTAGCCTTGTTTTGACTTGAATTGTTGGTGTTATTATGTTGATTGGAAACCTTTGGAATAACCATGAAAAACCCTTGTTTTGGTTGCCTCAAAATTTTTGTAGTTGTGAGCCTCGAGTTAAATTTCCTTGTTGGAACCCTGTGCCGAAAGTCGTCACTAGCCGGGTGTAGCCACGCAAAGTGGTGGTTGAGCACGCAAGCTCGTGCTGAGAGACGCGAGGCCAACCGCGAGACTGACCATCCACTCGCACGAGAGCTGCAGCCGCCATCACCGAATGCGCTAGCTCTCAAGGCCAGTGTGTACGATCAAACCTCGACCAGTAGCGGGTCTCCGAGGAGGTACGCACGCACGTGACCCAGCGTCCCGTGTCAGCAGCACCAGCGAGTGTACCGCCTCTCGGGCGACAGCGCACTAACCCCGATTCGTTGATCTCTTTTTGAACTGTTCGACCAATTTTTCGTGATGAACTGTATTTTTAGCCTCTTGAACCCTTTCTTTCGAGCCTTGAACCGAGAGATCCAAGTTTCACTAAAACGTTGTATGAACTCCTTAATCAATAACATTCAATAAGTGAGGATTGTCAATAAGTTTCCTATGTCACACGCGAGAGTTTCTCAAGTAGAAGGTTTCACAGTGATATCGGGTGGAGCCTTAAGTTTCGAGCAGAGGCTATGTTTGTATCGTAAGTATCGCGACTGCGAAGAGTGAGAGAGTAGTGGAGCTAGAGTGTAGTGGAGCTAGACCAACTGCATGGGGTACCATGTCGACCGTTTCTGATGGAGACGCACGGTTCGAGATGAGATCGTGGACGTGTTTTCAGCGTGACCTGAGCACGAGACTGAAGCTTGGTTCCACGTATCAACCCTTGATGTTTGGGCAGTCGAGCATGCTGTCAACATACTGAAAGACCGGTTGTTAGTTATTTTGAGTTTTTGATCGAGTCAATGACCTAGCCTAACGGTTGGCCTTACTACCGGAGCTTTCGGGAGTGCACGACATGTTGTATACCTCGAGTAGAGGAGATATGTACACCTCGAGTAGAGGAGTTATATGCATGATCCTGGGGCACGTGGTATACTTGAACGATCTGCATGTTACGCAGAACCTTACCTATGAAAAGGTATTGGTGGCCGTGGTGGGACGGAGGGTTTATCAGTCGAGGAACCGGTTATGGTATACGTCAAAGTCTAGAAGAGTAGTTCTGCGAGGGTGATGTGACTCTGGAAAGCGAGAGCGAGTTTCGGAGATGTATCCGAGCTATGGAATTTGAACTTCTCTCGTGTGTATGTTATTCCTTTGGGTTGCTTGTTCTTATGATATTTTCGAGGACGAAAATCTTTTAAGGAGGATAGATTGTAGCGCCCCATTCGTTTTTAATTAATTAGCGTATTTTAGATTTATTCTCGTCCGTTTTATTTAAGTGTTTTGCTCGGCAAAATCCTCACCTGAGCTTCTGACAATTAGTTGGAAGTAATCGTCATGTTAATCTTTTTAGTCGAATAATTTTTGTAAACGTGATCGTCTACTTAAATTATTTTCAATTCTTAAGCCTTCGTTTAAGCTTATTACGATGAATTAGATGGTTTTTCCTTATTAATCTATTATTCTCATCAATCGTAAAGCGTTCGTCCGTCGACATTCAATTTAAATTTCGCTCGTCGAATCATTCGAAAATCCTTATTCAATCGCGTAGAATTATTTTCAAGACATTTTTGATATTTTCTCGAACCTTGGGCTTGGCCCAATTCTTACCTATGTTTTGGCCCTTTTGTGAGTTATATTTTCGATCCATTTGAGCAATAAAACTGGCCCATGTTCGCTTGGAGGATCTGCCACACGTGCACCCCTTTTTGG